CACTTAGTACAAATAACACTACAGAAGTTGGAAGAACTGAGATACAAAACTCTAGTTGATTACGTAGGCTACTTTTCACCAAGAAACTGCCGCTTTTCAAACAGATTAACGACTCTTTACAAGAAGAAGTTTTTATCTATCGTTGTATGAATAAATTCAGTCATCCAAAAGTACGTAACTCCAAAAGCCTAGACTTTTAGCTCCACCTTTTACCTGTCATTTGTCGTCCCGTTGATTGTCGAGGAACCATAGTAGGTGAAAGTAAATCTTCCACTTATCCCTATCGAATGTAAGAGTAGCCCAGTGGGTCATTCGCTCTAAAAACTCTTTGAGCAACATATCTTCCTTCTAGGGTCTTCACGAAAAACTGGCAATCGGATCAGTGGTCTTCCTGCCCTAAGTTTGTCATCCCGAAAAATCCATTCACTAACAGCTCTTCTCCATCGGTTGCCGTTCATAAACATTACGTGTACTTCCCATATTATCTCCAATCGTTTGGCGTGTAGAACAGCGCCATCGGTTTTAGATCGTTGACTAAGATTGGAGTTTCGGATCAGTTCCCTCAATTGCCTGATACAGGATACTCCAAGCACCGTGCTTTTGACTGTTCGTCCAATAACGCCTGATAATCATTCGCGCTGCTCAAGCAGCTAGGTTTCTAACGCATACATTGAGAAAGGAAGTATCGTGGAGTCGGAAAGTTTGGCACGGAGTCAGGTGCTCCGTGTTTTCTTCATCACATTCTCAGTGTTCTTGAAAGTTCCCCAAGCCACTCATTTCCTCCTGCTCAACTATGAAGCTAGTCGTTCACCACGTTGATTTCTAGACGTAGATAGACGTAACTGGAGCATTCAGAGATATTCATGCCAGCAGGAAATATGAAACCAATCTGTTGTTCACGAATATCGTTTTTGTAAGATTCAGTTAAAGACTAATCATTCCACGGAATCTATCAAAGTGGGCAAGCATCCGTTCCGCTTGGCTAATATTTGGTGTTATAGGAACGACGTCATCAGCAAAGCGAAGATGGTTTAATTATAGACCACCGACACTCACTCCCATGTTATCCCATTCTTGGTTATGAAATTTTTGTAGAGCTCCCCAAAAGTTTTTCTATGCCAAGGAGGAAAGCCTCGACCGCAAAGGACTAACATCATTGCTTCTATCTCAAGTAGGTCAAGCTTTCTTCAAATCGATGAACTCGGGAAAGAGGATCTCTTGTACCCCAGTCTTTTAATCGTGTCAATATAGTATATTGCACCAATTCATTTTCGAAACCTTGTTTGCTCTCATAGCTATCATTCGTACCGTGTTCTATTAAACGTATTTAGGATAGCTCGAACGAACAGCCTGTAGAGACAGAAAGTAAGCAGATTAGACGATAGTTGCCGATATCATGTAGGTCACCCTTCCGATCATTAGAACGGTCTTTCTGGTCTTCCATTGAATAGGAACCTTACATTCAGACAGGTAACGAACGAACCAGTGCGTTAATATGGATTGGCTGAAGGTTCCTCAGGGATTTGTATCTTGTCCTTCCTGGACCTGGTGTTGATCGATTCTTCACCGATAAAATAGCATAGCAGATTTCAGAAAGGAGAACTGGTGGTACGACATATCAGCCCTCCCCTCTTCCCCTTATTTCATATGAAACGAGGAAAACGTGGCTATTGAAGAGATCCGAATAGTAATAGTGAATGATTCGCTTCACTATCCTTCTTGAAGTTGTAACGGTCCCATTTGGACGTTAAGGTGCAATAATTTGGGCTTCGTAATTGGTGAATATTCGTTGGGGTTTAAAAATGCTTTTCTCAGCCTCTTCATCTTCATAACTATTGCTGTTCTCTCTTCAAGATGTCCTTTTATCGTCTGCCTACATTGTTTTAGAAGTTCGTGCGTGAAGTTCTTGTAGCTGGTACGATTCCACGCAGGCCTATCGGTTCGAATATTCCTGGAGACAAATGTCGCTTGATGACTTTCTCACTTCCACCATTCACAGCGATAACGTGAAGATGTTCAATGAGCCGATCGTACTCCTCGTTGATGTTATCAGGAACGATACTTTTCCAAAAGCGGACTAATGAAGGCATCCTAGTTTATGGTGGTTTTCAAACTTCGCTTTCGAATTTAGCTGTTTTCTTTCCTTCCGCAAAAAAAGAAATCTTGCACGAAAGAGGCGACAGTGTGATCATGTGTGGAATTTTGAGACAACAGCGACATCAATTAGGCGAAACCTTTAATTTACTATGGCGTGGCCTATTTCGTTATGACACTCTAAAATACAAATCTCCCATGTCCAGTGTTTGGAGTGAAGTTTCTAAAATTCAGAGTTACCATGAGTGGTCTTGGTCATCATGATAAACTCAGAAAGCCGCTCACCCGCTCACCGTGCTTTTTTCACTTAAACCTGTGGGTCCCAATGTGACGTCTTTCAAACTCTCTTCTGGGTACATTCTTAGCGTTAAGATCCCCAATACTTTAAAGAAAACTTGGCCTTCACTGTAGGACTTCACCAAATCTACATAGAATGTTTCGACATCGTACCCTTCATGGCTCGAAATTGTTGCGGTGACGAAGAAAGCTGTCAAAGCCAGTATTTATTCATAGTTGTTCAATCGTAAAATTTCGATTCGAGTTATTAGTTGTTCGAATGAAGAAATGTTCATTAACAAACTTGCATTCATGAGAACGCCCACACTGCCGACTCCTCTATTGCCGCATGTTCCGAGAAACAGTTCTTTTTCGGTGTCATAGACGGTGTTGAATAGGTGGCGTCGTCTCGCCTCAACCAGTTTGATGACGTCGTACATTATCTTTCTAGCCTGCGTAGTCGAGTATAGACGACTCACATGCAAATATACGCGCATTGGTGGTACAGATCGTCACCTTAATCCTATGTGATTTAGGCAACCTAGAATGGTCCTGAGATCTTAGCAATACCCATCCCACCCAGTACTGTCTTACCGAGTCCACGAGTAGCTTGCCAGTATCTACCAGCGTAGGTGGGGAGCTTATCCGTTGGAGGCGACTTCTAACCGCCTCCCATACACTTTCCTGATTGCAAGCTTTCGGCGGAATTTATTCACAGAATATAATCGGTATACATCAGAAGAGAACACCCTCACGCACGTATGCATAAATACGTCTTCTCATACACAGAAGGTGTGTGCGAAATTGGAGCAGCAGAAACAGCGAGCCCATTACTTGGATCCACCTGTGTCTCAGCGAGGCATAAAGTTGCTTTTAGTCCGTGATTAACATCCTATGCGCCACCTGTGGACGCGTCACGTTGCCTCGCCACTAAATGGCAGAAGATCTCTTAATGGGGAGAATTTCAGCATATTAGTGGGATACACGTTGTGCATGTTTGTAAAGCAGTCCTCACATTAGTCGACGTTTCAATGAAAACGACTGTCAAAAATCGTCTTTTCTTAAAGTATACAGGCGAATGAGGAAGAAGAGAACTCGAATGACCTGTTGATTGCCGAATTTTCGGTGAAACAGCGAAAACTTCGACTATTGTAACCAGTGGACCATCTGGCATCAAAGACTGATAAAAAGCAATTTAACGTATTATTTACTGTCTATTCTTTTTAACGGCAGGGTATACATTGTGAAATATAACTTCAATGATGCTGAGATATTTGCAAAACTCCGGACCGCAGGTGTATGCGGTGGGGAACGAACACGCTGTTGTCCTCACCGGGGAGCAGCGCACTTCACCACCACACCATCCACCATCCGGGTCCTTCGTTTCGCCCTTCGCTCAGCTAGTTCTATCAATTTCGGCCATCAGCAATCACCCGTCAGCGGGATTGATTTGGGCAGGCCAAATCGACAATGAACCCAATTCAGCTGAGGTTTTAGTTATGATCGCAATCTTAACCGTTTTGTTTACTGCTTACTCTTTTTGATGGTAGGGTATATTGCGGAAAGGACAATAGCGTGTTCGTTCCCCACCGCATACACCTGTGGTCCGGAGTTTTGCAAATATCTCAGCATCATTGAACTGATAGAAAGCATTCGAAAGTTTAGGAGGGTTTATAATAATATGTAAAAAAGCCTAAACTGAAGCCACGGGATGTTTTTGATAGTGCACGTCCGATCAATAATACTTCTTAATAAACATTACGGTGTCTATTAAGTAATTGAGTGAGCCTGAAAGCTCGGAACGTCTTGCTCCATCTACCGAATCGTGAAAGGTGCAGAAAAATTCTGTGCTAAATTCATCTAAGCAGCAGCATTGTAATCTGTTCAAAAACTCATGTATTTAGTGAATTGGTAACATCACAAAAATACTGGAAAACTTTGAAATATTGAATTTTTGTTATAGAAGGAAAGAACTGAGATTGTATACTTTATCTCATCGCTATTATTCAGAGTGCATGAAATCTAAAAGCGGCTTTTAAACTGGCGGAAAGTACAAGCAGTACAATGGCTAGGTACGCCAGATACCAAAATGCTATAAAAAGGAACTTCTCTTAAAAAACATTTTTAACGACTGATCTTGGCAAGCCTCCCAACAGTTTACCGCTTTATCGTGGCTACAAGGTATTCCTGGGTATTGGGCTGCGATGAACAGAAGGGGTTTCACCCCATGGCAGGGCTTCCCAAGCTGGGAAGGAGTCCGGCGTTTTGATCAGGAAGCCTAGGATCAGGAAGAGTAAACCAATACCAGGATCCATCACCGCCTTGGTATCAAATTCGCACCGTGGTAAATCTCTCTTTGATCCACAAGGACTGTGACTGTTTGTTGTGGTGAAGACCTAGGGCACAGTTTCGCCAGGGCCACCTCGGAATTCCAAGCAGCCGCAATGACTTAACAAGCAAATCTCCGAAAAAGAGGAGATTACGTTGAGGCTCGCAAAACCAGTGAGGACGGGCAGTCCAAGTATCCAATTAAGTAAGATCTGAGCAAATGTTGACGAAATGCTAGTATAAAGAAATATAAAGAAGTTAGTAGAATGTAAAAACGATTTTTTGAACAGCCAAGAAATTCTTCACCTATAACTCTTACTGCTTCGTACTCTGGTCGTCGTGCTACCGTCGGGATTGACGATCACTTCGGTTGTGGATGCCGGTATCAGCGACGACTGTGTGCGCATTTGTGTGAAAAGGTCGGGAAACATTTTCACTAAAACAAAACAATATAGTTCATGAACTCCTAGGCGCTCAGAATAATCCATAAGTCTACCGATGTTCTCGTTTGATTTCAAAGAATATACTAAAGTTAAACAATTAAACGCAGTGGTCCTATTCAACTGACTGAATATTGAAGCCCAACGGATTGAACGATACTACACAGCTACGTGAGTCGTCGATAATGAATATCATGTTTTATCAATATCATATGCCTATATATATATATATATATATATATATATGTATATATATATATATATAGTATATTTACATCAATATGAATGCGCTATATCTTCAGTTCCTCACATTTTAAAAGATCTTAAAAGAAGATAGGTCTGCAAGATTTAGGTTTCTTATCCATCTCTCATTCGTATCTTATTCTACCGTTATCTTCTTTTATCTTATCTAAAACTGAGTATATTCCAGTTTTATTGGGTGGCGAAAGTAGAATAAAATGATAATCTTTATTTATTTAACTATAAGACTGTAAGCCATTGAAATCATAAAGGGGGCCATGTAGCGCGGTGGTTAGAGGTCCCATTACAGGCCACGGCTCTGAAGAAGGCGAAGTCGTCAAAACGTCAGCCATCGATGAACAATGGAGACAACAACGATAACTATACCGACCTCGCATCAGCTCAACAAGATCAGTTCATAAGAACGTACAAATAAACCTATCGATTATTTAAACAGAGGTTTATAGAAAGTCAGTTTTTTGAGTTATCAAGAGATGCTGAGATATTTGAAAAACTCCGGACCACTGGTGTCTGAGGTGAAGAGCGAACGTGCCATTACTCTTTCCGAAAGCTAACGCGCTCACCACGACGCCATACAGTAAAGAAGGTGACTACATTGTGATTTATTGTGATTTAAAACCAGTATAGTTTAACTTTTATTTGCTGCTTGGCTTTTTCATAGAAGGGTACTATGTGAAATATAACCACAATTATATTGAGATATGAACAGAAGTCGGTACCGCCGCTTTATCCACCACACCAACCGAGGGCGTTGCTTTGCCTTTCTGTTAGCCAGCTTTTTCTCTGATATTAATATCAGTAATCATCCAGGGCTCTTGTGCTCGGGTTTGCTTATCTCTCTGCCTCATTATGGTTTTATTTCACATAAAACTATGTTGTATCGCTTCTTAATGTATACTTAGTTTACCACTTTATACCGCAATGACCCAAAAATTTACGAGAAAGCTATCCGTGGTTATAGGTGGAGGAAGTAAAGAAAGAAGAGATGGGAATAAGGCATAAAATAACTTGAAGAAAGTGCCTGCTCACCTAAATACTCCTTTTCTTTCGAGAGCATGCTCATAAATGTGTCCGGCACTTGGCCTAGCACGTTCGAAATTGCAACATCCTGCAAAGTCTGATGAAAGTTGTGGAACTTATACTGTTTGTGCTGGTTTTTGCTAATATTTCCATATGTTATCTTTGATTAGCAAAAGTTTTCGCTCTCTCAATACTGGTATTCATCACTGTGCAAAAACCCAGTGCTTAGTTTTACTTGACGGATATTCAGACGTTAAATCTAATTATTCACGTTGGGTACACAATTATCTTTGAGATTCTCACTGAAAACCACTCTAGCAAACTTCGAATATACCCACTATGATGACAACAAATTCACTTCGCCAATTATAACGAACTGTAAATTAAAGCGGGTGTTCATTCACTAGCACGGTTTCCTACATGCTGAGAAAAAGCTCCACTTTTCTATACAGCATCCCAGCTAAAGTAGGTCGGTTAGCAAAGTGGTAGTGATACCGATCATCGCGATCACGGTGCTGGTTTGATCCCACATACCAAGCTTCTCATATCTCTGGTGTCGGAAACTGGCATAGCACGTGTCCGAAAAAAGCTACTCTCTGCATGATGGATACGAGGAAACGAATTAAATGTGAGAAGTGCTAGGATCCGCGCAGTAGACGCGGAAAGGGTCTTATGAAATAAAATAAAAAGATTCCAACTAGAAGAAAACCTATGTCATAAATCAGTAACGTTCTGATGTAAACCTGTGCACATAGGAGTGAGTCGTCTTTTACGAGAATGACTACATGGGTGATAACTCAACATTGCTCTGGCCCGGGCTTCATAGGAATGCAACAAACTAATTTTGTCAAAGCAACAAAATACAGGAAAAATGCTGGACTTAGGACGATTTTTTGTGTAATATTGTAGAACCTGATTAATTTCCCTGATAACAATCCAGCTCATAGAACACGAACACAAATCGTATGCATTCCGGAACTAAGACTATAGGGCATGACAGGGCATAACTCATGAACTACATCTCATCCAATTTGCATTTATACATCCGACTTGTCTACGTTTTCATGTCGAGATATAAACTTCAGAGATCATAACAACCATTCTAAGCATCATACTAGGAGCGTCGTTTATATCTGAACTAAAAGCTGGTTAAATGAGTTTACAAGTAAAACTATTTTTGAAAAAAAAAAAGATATTGTATGCTCTCATCTCTTGCACATACTTGGTGATAAGTATTCGTCTTTCCAAAGAGAACGACACACGAAAAACTCGACATTTCCTTTAGTTCGAAAAAAATTTCCAAACTAAACGTTGTATCCGCCTTTTTATCAAATATTTCTTATGAAAAAAGAAGATCCCCAGAAATTCAACACATTCGTCGTCGCTTAGAATGATATCGGAAAAACAAGAAGACTCTTTGAGCAGTTTTAGTAGAGTCGTTTCGAAGAAAAGCTGCTGCGCAGTAAATCAAATAATACCAAAAAGTACCGTATACTTTTTCGTTGTTCTCTAGATAAATCGCAAGCACTTATGGGCCTTATTTCATTTGGGAACAAATAACGAAAAACTCACCAATAGGTGTAATGGAGACGAAAGCAAAAACGTTATTGAAAAGCAAAACGGTAACTCATGATGATCTTTAAATAAAAATATTATTTTGCAGTTTTCTTTTTGCTAGTCGGTAAACTTGAGGCAGACTTTGGCTAAGCTGACCTCGAGACTCCAGAGAAACACTGCAGCTTAACTGGCAAAAGTCGGAAAATGGAGATTGTGCTGGGTGCCACACAACTAATGAGGACGGGCCGTCCAAGTGTTCGGTAAAAGAAACTGCTCATAATACATTTAGCTTTTCTTGAATACTATGTAGAAAATCAAATAGTGGCTTAGTAGTCCTAAAAATTACATATTTTTAAAAAATATAGAAAAATAAGTTGATGAAATAGTTAAAAACATGTGCGAATGATCAGAAAAAAAGTTGGCAGCACAGAGAGAACCAGTACGGTCTCGGTCTCAGTTCTAATCCGGTAAGTCAATTCGTAAACATTTCTGCTCATATGAAATTCAATTTCCTTGACTCCAAGAGGCTATATATATTTAAAACTATGTTAAGAAACCGGATTCACTTAGACCATAAGGAAAAATAAGTTATTTTTAAGGTTATATTCAGCGGAAGTCTGTAAATGCAGAGTTAGTTGACTTGCCTGTGCATCGTTCGGATCTAGTTGAAGCATCTTGTTATTCTGCGTAATTTCCACAGGTCTGAAGCCTTTGATATCACCTTGATATCGTTCGCATTTCTCCTCGACCTTAGCCTCTTTACCGTTCGACATCTCAAGTCGTCGTGATGTTTGTGTGCAGTCGAATTTGATCTAAGGAAATGATTTTGTTCTATTTAACCCTCGTTCCAGACTTGACTATTAATCAGAAAAACCTATTTTAAAATCGATAAAACAAAATGACACTGATAATACTTAAAGATACTATCTTTGACTTTTCTAGCATGTACGTTGGACAAGAACTCATTAATGAACTAACATATTAAGAAGATCTAGACAAGGCAACTAAAACCACTTAATGATCTTTCTTCTAGATTATTTTATCTTTCATGAATTTCATATCGTCTTATGGATTAAGCACTGTGAGAGTCAGATGAATAACTTAATTAACGGCATAAAGATGTTGTTCTTAAAGAGATGAACACATACACCGAGAGACAAAGAGAGGGACAGAAGGAAGGAACGAGCGAATGAGTGCAAAAGGATAGCGATGGCTTCATTCACATAACAAACACATAGAACCAGATGTGCTCCTGAAGCACGAACGAGAAGTGGAAAAACGAGGATCGTTAGCAAGCCGATGTTTTCAGCAGTGATTTGAGTTTTTCTGAAAACTTTAGAACCACGAAGAAAAGCGGCCCGCCTTTAGACTTGAAACGTGCACTACAGTAATTTATTGTATAACGTTAGAGCCCTAAGTAACCAGATGCAAACGTCTTTAGTAGAGTTTGAATCGGTTACAAATTAATATTAGTAAAGGTGAAGTTCCCATTACTGTTGTTCATCAAGAATGGTGCGTTGGTAAACATTTCGATCACTGGCAAATGAATATTATATTCAAGGAAACTTCTCTGGGAATCACTTCTAGCAAATATGTGAAGAATTGTAGAGAATTCGTCACCATAAACATGAAGACTAGTAGAAACAGCATTCTATTGACTCAGACAAATTTAAATAGTGAAACGGCTCAATCGGCGTAGAGGATGAAGTCGTCATGTGCATATTTGGTGTTCGCTGTGACTGAACAAATGAGCAGCTGGGAATGAATTTTTTCGAAACTCTACGGTACTACTGTGAATCTCAATAAAATGTCCGGATGAAAGGATGTCAAGAAGTTTCCAAAGCTTTCCATGCATAAATTTGCGATACGTAGTAAAAACTCTATCGATTCCCTTTCATGACCAGGTTCATGATACGATAGTGTCATGTGTATCATTTGTAATACCCTTAGCCATCGACTGACTCTGCAGAGCAGCAGTGAAATCTAAATCCATTCCTGTTGCTCGTTCAAACGGCCAAACAAACGCGTTCGATCTTAGAAGAGTATCAGCCCTTTGGTGTTCTGGCTCTTTCTTACCTGTTTTAATGGAAAGCTAACCACGAGTGGCTCACTGGGCTGTGTCACTGTGTAAGTCTGCTCTGGGCTGAGGATCCGGTTAGAAATGTTGAAGCCGTTGTCAGCTCAGATAACCTTGCTTGGATGTGAACCCTTTGCTATACATTTCGACAGTCAGGAATTCTCCCTTTTGATGATGAAGTAGTAAACCATTAAAAAAGGATAAATAAAAAAATAAACTAAAAGAAATTCCCTTAGCCTCATGATTTAACTTTTCTTCCTTGTTGGTGGAGATAAAACTAAACAAAATTTTGCATGCAACTTCAGGCCTGAACGGTAGCACAATGTTAACTTCCAGCTGGTGGAAGTATAACGCTTTATGAGAGCCACTATAATCAATAAACTCTGTCAAACATGGAAAATTGCGAAATTGAGTTTCTTAGAAAAAATTCTTTGACGAACAAACAGCGTTCCACTGAATAAAGTTAGTCGATGAGAGTCACAAAACTGTATTATTTGCCCAGCGAGCCGACTGCGCCATCGTTTGCATTTAACCTTGTGCACAAAACAAAATCACCAGTGCAAACTCTCATTGACATTCCACCTTCAGCGCAACAAAGTATGATTGATTTCTGTAGTGCTGCGAAAAACCTATTCGTATGCAAACATTTAGCGGAAGCCAACTATTTACGTGTTGCAATAAGATGACTACGATACATTCAAAAAATGTCTCAGGCGGCGTCGAATATCATCAGACCTGTCAAATAAGTTCCCGAACTAACTGACGAACAGCCCTTCGCATTCTTCCGTTTGCGTCACTACTTTGGCTCACGTCTCAACCATGAATTTCAGAGTATTTCAGAGTAGAGTTCAACAACGTCCAATCTTCAACATCCAGTGAGATACTGAGCGAAGCAAAAATGGATACGTCATTTTATAAGAAAATTGAGCGAAATCACCTAGACAAACTATGAAGAGGAAGTAAATAACAATAGCGTGCAAGCACCTGCATTTAAGAGTAAGTGATATAGTTGATGATAACCTATGAACGGTGTGCAGATGTTTTTGTTAGTCGGACCAAGTTGAACTATCTGCTGAAAGTATAAATGAAAACTGCAGGAGTCTTGCATAATCAAGAACCAAGGTCGCAAAGAAACCAACAAAATAAAAACCGCTTAGTTCCGAACGATTTTAGTGAACCGAACATTTTTAAAGGAGTCGGGAAACCCGGATAAATTAAGACAACTACGACAAAGTAGACAAAATATGTATAGGTTTTCCATTTTTACGGTAGATTACGTACCAAGTTTATATGAACGCATAAACGCCAAAAACACTTTCGCTATGTTTTTTTCACTGCTGTGGAGCTGCAAACGCGCAAGGTCACCAGGTGCCGAAGAAAAAGTGTTGCTAGTGGCAAAAATTTTATGGGGTGCCGCTTGGTAAGACACTTTTTAACCATGTTGTTCAGGAGTAGGATATGCTATTCTATGTCATGGTTCAGTAGATTGAGTCCTGAAGCGAAGAAAAGCAACCGAAGCTCCCACAAGTGCATTCACAACTTATCAGAGGAAGAAAAATTTTGAAACAATGTCGTCTTCCGCTCACTAGTCCGGATGCGGTGGTGAGGCGAATATCCTCAACGCCTGAATACGTTTGAGGAATTCTCACATGTCCCACGACCTCAACGTATTCGTTCTTTAAACGGTTCATCAATTTTCGAATGCTTCGGTCGAAAACAACCGTCGGTTCACCAACAGCACATGTGTGTCGCTGAACAATGACCGCTGAATGGGATCAGTGCATGTACGAATGCGTTTTGGCGAAACGGTGTTGCTTTCAGATTCGTCTATTGCAAAAACGATCCCAGTCCACATCGATCCGGAGTATTTTAACCTCGAAGTTTTGACTTAATTATAAGTAAGAGTAGTAAAGCACTGCGGTAATATAGATAGATAGCGTCCTTGTCGTGTTTCTATCGATGTCACTTTTCTTTCGACTTTATTTGCTTTCGGGAAGGATTTTGGAGGAAAAATAGCTAGAAATACTCAATATCAAATGTTCTTGGGTGAATCTCAGATAATCTGAAATTAAATCATGCAAGGTTTTCACTCAGTGGTCTTTTTGTAATGTAATGAGCACGTATGTAGTGCTTGAAAACCACATAATGGAATAATTCGAACTCGAATTTCCAACTTTCACTTGAAAACTACTAATATTAATTAGTAGATGACAAGCACCTTTCGCCGTATTGTTTTTGTGAGTTGTTCGGTACCGTCAGCCGACTCGATACGGTATATGACAACCTGCACGCGACAACCGTCTGTAGCATCGATTTCTTCTTCCTGGAAGAATAAACATTTTGAGGCTTATTCTAGAAGCTGAAAAACAATAAGATTTTCAATTATGCAAATACTCTCTTCAATGTTCCAGTTTTCACAAAACAATTACCATAATTACTTAGCTAAAGAATGCGTATGTCCCTCAGTAGTTAGAGATGCTCCGTAACATGCGGAGGATCACCATACCAAGCAAGTAAATTCTCTATTCATCTTTAGTGCAATTTTGCATTTCGTCTCCGAAATAAGTACCAAAGTAGTTTAGATGGATAAAAACACTGATTTAATGCATTAGTAGACCACCACAAGTTAGTTAATAGGTGAAATATGTATTCAGCCACCCAACCGCCTCTTCGGTTCTTCGAAGTCTATTGCATCCCTGGGTGATTGATGGAAGTCAAAAGCTTTTAGTTTTTATATTTATTTATACGATCTTATAAACTGATCTCTCCGAGCAGACGAGAGGTTGGTATAGGTGTTCGTTGTTGTTGTTGTTGTTGCTGTTGTTGTACGGCTCTGAGGAAGAGGAAATCGCCGAAACGCCAGCCATCGACCAAAAACACCAGCAGCAACAGCAACAACAACGACAGCAACGACAGCACCAATCTCGCATCAACTCAAAAAGATTAGTTTATAAGATCATATAAATAAATATATCAACCATTTATGCCGAGGTTTATAGAAAGTCAGTCTTTTGAACTTTTTAGTTCTTAGTTACCCAAACAAGCCCATTACAACTGGAAACTAGTAGGACGTGAACATAACTGAATGTCCGTCTTGAGATTTTATGCCTCACTGAAACGTACTAAATTCGAACATTCCAGAATTATCTGTATGCACATATGGGAATCCCTTCATGTGCGACTGTTAGATTCTTTAAGTAACCGTACAAGAGCAGCAGTCAAATATACCAATGCAAAAGCATGTGGTTACGTTTAACCGAGCAGAAAATCGTCATTATCAAGTATCGCATGAAAACTGTGTTCGGTCACGTGTCGTCTAGTAAATTTTAGCTCAGAAAAACATGGTATGAACATAAGAAAAATACTGACAGAAAGACTTCCGTTGAAGTGAAATAGACTACGGCAAATTACCGATAGAAGGAAACACTAGTACCTTTGGAACTTCTAACATACCAAAGTATGAGTAACTGTGACGAGCCAGAAACATCCTATCCGAAAAGTTAATGGCACAGAAAGGCTATAAGATGAGGGAAAAAGAACAAACACGCCATAAACTCTGACTGGGGAAATATCCAAAGAAGAGAGTGATACATGAGTTCTCACCTGTACGACGTCTATGAGACGTCCTCCTTCAAGATCGATATCATCTGGAGACAATGAGGCTTGCGTCTGCGCGAAGTGCATGAGATGCGGTGGTGGCTGTACGACGGACATCTCTTGCCGAGCCAGTTGACCCACGCAACGATGCCAAGGAATTGGACCTGAAAGATCGCATTATATTCCGAATGGAATCTTCATCTCAAAAAAATTTTCGCAAGCGTCATTGAGAGAATAGAGCTGTCGATTGTTGAATCGACCAGCTGCGTTGGCCGAAAAATCCTCCCTACTGTGTCATTATGAAGATGAGAGTCTTAGTTCGTTCAGGTAGAACAGAACCTCGCCAAAAGATCGGTTTCGTACTGAATTCTTATAAATCTTGACGTTATGGCAATTGCAAATCATATTGAAATCACTGAAATCAGAAATGAAAAACATTCTTTTTTGCTTAGTGAAACGTTTCGTTAAACGATTGGAAACCACTGGATGCAAAATCGGATAGAAAAGAAAAACTTTCTTTGAAGTTTTCCAGCAAAACATTATATGATGTGGCAATAATACATGTCATAATTAACAATTAAACGTGATTTTAATGTAGTTTAGTTCAATGGTGGCAGTGAAGACAAAAATGACAAGCACACATGACGAATTGTCGCGATGATGGTCGAGATCCAGATTGGTAGAAGGAAGGATAAGAGGGATAGGTAGCCGGCCGGCCACATGAGGATGTCGAGTGATTGTTCGAAATAAGAAATAGAAAAGTAAACGAAAAGATACGAAATGCAATCGATAGCTATAAAAAATGGGAAACAAGGTCGTTACTCAGATGTGGACATAGCCTATAATTTGCAAATCCTAGCGAAGCTTTTATACGTCTCGATGTGAGTTTTATGGACAGTAAGTGTTTTTCTTCCTCTATCGTTTTCCTTCCAAGAAAACAGCGGCAGACATAACAGTCACTATTCATCGGAAAATTTAGAGTACTTCGATTTTTTCTTACAAGTAGGAACAGATTTACAAGAATCGCAAAAACCTAACAAAACCTTCATGTCAAGATAATCGATAAGAGTAACAATGGGAAAAGAATGTACGCTTATAGAAACCTATCATTACTGAAAAAATATAGCGCCAGTAATTTTGGTGCTATGATTCCTAATAAATATGCTTGAACGCATTATGCCAACCTTGTAGAAGAGGAGAAAAAGAAACAAACAGCTGAACGGAAAGAGCTTCCAAGAAATAAGCCGTCATCAAAAACTATTAAAGTCAAATGGTTAGGCAAAACGCATAGAAAAAATAAAGACAAAAGGTATAAAAGAGACGATGTGCAATAGTATAATGTTGTTGTATAGTGGCAGATCCTGATGGACTAAGGAATAGAACCAAGCTATTCACCATGAAACTGTGGTGCTGAGAGGGTGATTGACCACTAACCCAAAGGCGAAAAGTAATCGAATAGGTTATTTTTTGGAAGAAATTCTTTAAAAAATTCCGCAACCACTCCCTTAGGACGCTTTGGTCTATGCTGTCTAGGTATAAGCATCAATAGCTTACAGCTGGGATATCCAGTTTTACAAGTGGTCATCACCTTATTGTGCATGAAGGAAAACACCGACTGGTCTAATCTACATAGAAATGAGTATTCTGCGAATAGAATATTCCCACGGCACTCTTTTATACAAAGCGGTTGTTGTTAATATCATTATCAGTTTATAATAATTTGTTTTTCGGCTGACTGCTGCAGGGTGGAAAACGTCGCGGATGTGTTCGGCTTATTTAAGATGCTCAACTGAGGAAGACCCGGTTCAATGCGAGACGAGACGCCACATCGAGAAGAGGAACAACTGTGAGCCATCGACAAGGGTCGTCGGCTCTGATGAAGACGAAGACGTTGAGAGGTTAGCCGTATAAAGATCTCTTATCAACCTCGCGTAAGCTCAACAATATGAACAAATAATGATTATTTTATTACCGAGGTTTAATGACGGTCTGTTTCAAAAGTATAGTTTCATTAACGTTAAACAAAGGCACGTGTTGCAATGGTTAGAGGAGATGCCTTGCGATACACTTATTCTCTCTGGTTCAATTCCATACCCTTATCAAGCCTTTAGAGCCACCTGAGTCACTATCACAGTTATATCTCAGTTAATGATACTAGTTAATGTCACTATACTTGTCTTAGAGGCCCTCAGAAACTTATTTTGATACCGATATTAAATGATGGTCTGCTTGGAAATTGTCTTGGAGGATAAAAAAAACAGTGAATTGATAGATAGGAAAGTATCCGTAAGTTATTGTACACGCCAAATATGCATTCGGTCACCTATACGATATTATGAATAAACTCAAATCCATGGCAGATCACTTAGGAAGCAACACCAAACGCGTTATTCCCTATCTTCTTTAATACGAAAGCAAAAACCTCTGATGTGGAACAATTCCAGAGGTGGTTAAGCCGTAGCGTTCCTGAGCAGAATGATAACGAGAAGATAGAAAGAAAACCAAAAACTACTGCTAACTTTTTAGAAGAGGGAACCCCACTCAACGACCAGAATTTTAATCTTAGTCCACAAATTTGGGTTTTTAAACTAGAGAATTCCTTCAGCGTCCTTGACGCTAAACACCACTTGAAGTTCGATAGCTTCGAGTTGATGAATGTTAGAAAAAAGTGAACCCACATTTCATTTTTCAATTTCTAATTAATTTTGCAAGATTTTTTTTCTGGAAAAGCAATATTTGATTACAAAAATCATTCGATGCTTAGCATGAGACGACTCTACTGTGCAGACAGTGTTTTGGATCGTTGCCGAATATCGATCAATTCGGTCGGAACAATACGTAGAAGGAATTAATCGCCTTTCCATGTGAATAGTGATGACAACGAACAAAAGAATAAGAGAGTAGAAGATGAATGGAGGAGAATAAAACACGAAAAAGAAAAGAAAAACCCGAAAACGAAGAGGAAATGAGCGTCAGGAAAAAATTGCAATACTGGACCATCGGTCAAACTAATAACGGTACAACAAAATACCATCGTTCTTCATTTTCTTTCCTCCTTTATTCTTTATAAAAATATGCCTTCTATTAGCAAAAGAAAGCCGAACCATATTTCTTAGTCCATTCATTTGTTAGAATTTCTTATCTCAATGATGTGGAGATTTCCTCCTTTGTTAGAAAAAAAGAAAAAGAAAAAAAACTGAAACGAAAGTCAAATTAAAACTAGTTGGATCAATTGCGTGGCATCTTTTTTCTTCGTTATTAAACCTCCATTTTATATAACGTCGTCCTACTCGGGCGATCATTATTTATACATAAAATATCGGAAGCACCTGACGAATTGTTCAGTTACTGGAATATTTATCATCGAACTATGAGAAAATTTATTTAAAATGGCGGAAATTCGTTCATTTCGGAAAAATCGAATTTCCTCAACCGATGTCAAACTAAAAGCCTTTTCTCTACTATCTTAATAACCGTTAACGATCGAGCTGTTTTGGTTTTGTGTGGCGTAGGAACGGTGAATGCGCGGTGATTCTAAAGCTGCTTCGCTGGTATAAGCATAATACAACGTGTAAAATATGAGTATTGATTGGTTGGTGTTAGTCACTACTACCTTCATCGTGCCAAACACGTAAAGGCACATAGAACAAAGGAAAGGAAGTGGAAGAAACCACAACGAGGAACATGTCAATATAGTCATATGGTCAATAAAGACGAAATGAAACAAAACAAAAACAATCTGATGGTATTTAAGAAAAAGGACATCGAAAGCAGTCAACGTTGCACCGAACTTCAAACTGCTGGCGTAATAAAGTCATTTATAAGATTCATTTAACAAGTGAATAAAACAGTTTTGTTACTTTCTTGAAAATCTGCTTAAACAAAGTCACCTAATACTTCCACAGTTCCTAAGCCATGAGACATTAAACTGCTGCGCGGATCAACAATTATCACCGACAGAAATATCACGGAAGTCATTACTGCCTTTTTCCCAGTAATGGAACGAAGGAAACTCTTGAAGAACAGAAATAAGGAAGTAGAAACGTCCACTATGAGGATAAGAAAGAAAAATGTCAAGTGGAATATGATCGCTACATGGACGCGTCCATTCTTGGAAATTTCCAGCCGCGCCAATACAGCTGGTGTCGCGGTATTCGGGCAGATGACGTCATATTATTGAACAGATTTGAAAGTAGAACAAAAGCTCATTGTTACTTCAATAAACAGTACGGAATGAAAATAACAAAACGAGTTTGTCAGTTATTTCGTTTAATTTTGTTGGACACACAACATCTGACAACAGTGGTATTATTTGAACGATTTTATGTAATAAAATAAACTTCACATCCATTTCTTACTTTGTGGTAAACAAATATTATACATCAAATGATGATGTTATCACTATGAAACTGCTAATGTTGAGTGATTCGTATTTGTAACGAGTCTAATCGGCTATACCAAATGAATATTGTGTTCGTCAAAGTAAAGATTGTCCGTACTTACGGACAGAGGACGACAGACCTGTATTAATTTTGTAGAAACATAACAGAAAAACTACAAAAGATTTCTTTGATAGATAATACCGAGATCGAATTCGATGATATTGAAAGAACGTATTACTGTAGTAGATTTATTTACTGTGTTCAAAATAACTGAATCGGCTAACAAAAAGAAGTCTCAAGGTGAACAAAACCTTTTGCCTTTTAAAGAGTCCAATTTCAACGCTCTCGAATATACTGGAGACATTGAAGCTAGAGCTGAGAGAAAGGCCAAAAGAAGTACTAGCATGGTGTGGTGGTGAACGCGTTAACCTCCTGATAGGATAATAGCGTGATCGTTCCCCACCGCAGACACCTCCGATCTGGAGTTTTGCGAATATCTCAGCATCATTATGGTTATATTTCAAATAATACCCTGTAATTAAAAAAGGCAGGAATTAAAAGCAACTACATTGAAACTAGTATTAAAGCTTATAGTTCCAAGGAAGAAGGCTGCCTGAACTTTCAGTTAGTTCATTTGCGTCTTCTGATTGTGATCAACTGTCACTACAGAACAGTAGTGTAACTAGCCCGTAAGCTTCTGGCGCACTGTTATGAGTTAGTAAGTCCGAATATAATGTAAATTTGGAAACCTGTTATTGTCAATGTGTTGATAAACATTTT